TGAGCTTATGATAACATGTTTTTTGTTGCTTTGCTTTAGCCTCTTAATAATCTTAAGTAGTGCTTAGCTTTGGAAAAATTAAAGAAACATAAAGCTTTGATGCTTTAATTGTTTGAGTGGTGAACAATTTCAAAAGTTCTAATTCATAGCGTACATTGTTTGATAAATTTTGTTTACTTTGGGGCCATCTTGTCATTAATCAAATTTGGGTACATCTCCTAATGCCTCTTTTGCCTTATACATGGGCGAAAAAAGTTTCACTTTTACTTGCTATTTTTCTAATTGAAAGGGTCTATGATTGAAGCTATTAGAGATTAAGTTTTAATTATTAAAATTAAAAATTCAGAACTCCATTAATAATTTAACCTTTTACCAAAACAATAATCAATCCATCTCTTTACTTATCTAAACAATGACAATGAGAAGTACTACTAGTCCAATTATTATGACTTCAAGTAAAGAATTTGGGGTTCTAAAGATTAAATTTTCATTATTTTATGCTATACTATGAATAGGTTAGAATATCAAATATTACTATATATATAGTACTATGAAAAGAAGAAGAAAAACCATTAATCTCATTTGGTTATATTTAGTTTTTTTTTTCTTTTTCCATTCTTTTTTCCCATCTTCTCTAGGTTATGATCATTCTTCCATTTTATACATGTCTGTTATACATTATATGATACACATCTGTTATACATGATGGAATCTATCAAATTGGTTTGATAAAAGTGCATTGAATATTAGCTTTGTTGGTCAAGATATTCTTCAACTTAATATGAAGCATTGGTTAAAATGTAACATAGTCAAGGCTACAATCTTGCTCTTTTTTATTTTTATTTTTTTTTTCCCCTTCTTTTTCTTTTCTGTGAAATGACAAATCTTGTTCTTATTGAACCATATTTTTGAGTGGGAGAAAATATTCTTTGATCCCATGTAGGAAAAGGAAACAGTAGAGAGGAAATTAAAGGCCCCAAGCGTGGAACAAAAAGTGGAGCATATGCAGCACTATTTTTATCCATATTTAACTTTATGTGCATGTTGGGGCTCCCTTTGCTTGGGATTCCTACATTTTTGTGGGCACTTTTGTTTGATATATGAGCCACCTTTTCAACACTAGGCCGGATCTTCACTTCACTTCATGCCCTTTCTCCCCCTATCTTTTCTACAAAGCGCGCTTTTGTTAAAGGAAAAGGTTTTGGGAATCCTATGCCCTCTTCACCTCTCCTCCATGTATATTCCTATATCACTTGCTTCTTATGGCTGTAACCCCTTTTTCCCATGGCTAGATTCTTATATGTTATCATCACTCTTGCTAATTTTTCCCTTCGCGAACTTCTTACAAGGATCCGGCAAATTATAATTGATCACTCCAAATTTAGTTTCCAACCTTCAAAGTCTCGTTCGATGAAAACTTGTATTAGAATGACAACGAAGAAATTTTGAAATTTAAAGGTTTTATAGTCAAATTTATCGTTTACGAATTTCATTCAATTTTATATTGATTTGTTTGTTTGAATTGATTATAGATTTTGTCTGTCAAATATATATAATAAGGTATAGGTATAATCTTTTATTGAAAAGCAAAATGATATAATGGCAATGGGACTTTTGCAGCAAAACTATACCTGAATTAAGGGTGGTCAAAAATAGCATTTGACTTAATCATACAGAATACTCTGTGGAGTGTCACATGGAAATTAAATTAGCTGCCCAATAGGGGGCCTTCCTATTAATAATACAGTATATATATACTCTAGAATTCTCATTGCAATTTGAAGGGACAAATGTTTAGTCTCCCAATCATCTAATAATCTTTGTACTGTTATATTCAGTAGTTGGTAACACCATAAGTGTTTATGTCTATATATTGGTTTTGTAACAGAAACCTGCAAAGTGGCATCTGGCAAAGGGGAATTGAAGATGAATTTACATTCAGTCATTCTGAGATGGGTCTCACTCTTTAGTTACTTTAAATAAAGATATATGTGTTTATAGAAGAGCTCACCTAACACGAGATGCAAAGATTGCAAAGTTTCAAGCCCCTACCCTATATCAAAACTATGACTTGACACCTCTTTCTGATTTCTGATCCCCCCCCTCAGCCCTCAAGCCAATATTCTTCTGCCTCCTTTGTTTCTGCTTTTTCTCCTGATGACTATATAAACAAATAGCAACTGAAAAAGAAGTTTGGGTGATGACTGCTGAAACTTGGTCAAAAGTATACTCCTCTCCCTTGATGAATTGATAACCCCAGCTTCACAGTTTCTCTCTTTTTTTTATATGCCTTGAGAATGAGAGGTTGGGCCATTTTCTTCCTTTTCTTTAACTCTGCCCAAGTGAAGTAGGGATCACTACATTGATAACCAAAAAGCATGGGGCTAGGCAACTATGTATAATATAACCAAAGTATGGCTAGTTGCAGCAATCAAAATCCTACCACTCCAACCATTTAACTTTCTCCATACACAGACTGAAAATTTTATTTTGTCATCATTATACTTTCTGTCACTATTAGTATTGTTAATGCATATATGATGTCGACAGGAAGTAAATTAAGTTGGTTGATGGTCCTAATTTGCTTTTTTATTGTAGATAGCAGTAGTCTCCTCTATCAATGTTAAATTACAGATATTGAACATTTAAGATGTATTTCAAAGATTTAAAGACAAAGGATTATGATTTAATTACCCTCTAGTTTGATAATATGACAAAAATGAAAAAGAAATAGAAATTAAGAAAGAAATTATCCCTTCCAAAAAATCTCATGATTGTGTTGAGAAACTTCTATGAAGCTCTCTTCCAAGTTTCAGTTTATCAAAGTCTGTCTCCTAAATGCTGTACATTTATACCCTCTAGCTCTAAAGCCTTCATTTGTACACTTGAAATTGTTAGTGAAATATTATATCAGAATAGAAATTTGAGTAGAATTTTAGTATTATGTTAGGATGCTTGTACAGGCAAGCTTACCCTGTGAGTCTGGTGCTGGTCTCAATGGATGAGGAAAAATTAATTGTCCTTCTCTTACATGATTGCTTACTTTTCATAGTGAACTTTTTTCACACTATCTGTCAGATTCTAATGAGTAAATCCCATTGGTTCCCTACCACATATATCATTGAAACAGCAAGGATGTTTTGATTGGGCTTTTCAAAGGTTTTTAACTGAAGTTCATGTCTGTCAAATAAGTTGTCAAATAAATTCACTTTCAAAGCCTTACGGGGACACCATTCACCACTCAATGACATAAACAAGTTGGGGGGGGAGCTTGTTTTGAAGGCCACATTTTCCTGCACTCACCTGCTTGAAATAATGAGATTTCATTCAATATAAAGCTTAACTGGAATGGAGCCAGGGTCGAACCCCATGTGTCATTTGTCATGATAACTGTGTCCCTGGGCTCCTTTTTGTTTCACTGAGATGCATATGGGCCAGCATTGGTCTAATCAAGTCTAATCCTTAGACTACTTTGTTGCTCTCTTTAGGTTCAAAACCAGTACACATATGGGCCTATCTACTCCTTTTCTCTTTGGGCTTTATACTTGTTCAACCCAAATCAAGTCAACACTTTGACCTTCTTGATTTAGCATATAATATATGTTATAAATTCAAGGTTAAGAAATTAATTATGGTAAGTTAAAGGTTTATTAGAAGTCCAAATAGAGTAGAGACATACACAAGGGAAGGAAGTCTCTCAATTGTGGCACAAAATGACCTTTTATTTGAAAAACAAAGGCCTAATTGTTGTTAAAAGAACCAAATAAATCACTGCATATTCCTGTGCCTCAATTGTTGTTGTTGTTATGACCCATCAACAATTGAGAAATACCACTAATCAATATTTTTCTTGCCACCATTCTCCTCTCATAAAAGTGAGATCCATCTTTAATTTGTATAGGATTCCTTCACATGGGGTTTCAAGTTCAACTTTGTTGGCAGGGCTGGCCAAGTTGAAGGTGGAAATTGGAGATTTTTGTCAAATTTTAATGAAGGGGACTGCAATAAAACACAGGATATCAACATAATTCTGTTGTTTTTGCACATGGTGGGTACAAGTATAACCCAAAATCAGCTAAAAAGAAGAAACAAATGCTGGTTACTCTAATAATAACATATTGGAAGGGGGGATGCTGATCAAGATGGATGATCAACTATCCAACCCAATATTAGAAAAACAATTTTGCATTTTCAAAAACTACATTCCCATTGCAAGAAAATATTGAAAAGTTGTTGAAAACCATTTGATTATCCTTTCATTAGATGAAACATTGCAAAACCTCCAAGTCATATATATATATATATATATATATATATATTTAATTCCAGTCTCTAACAAAGACAGCAATTCAATTGGTTATATGCTTCAAGATGGCCTATTGCTGGAAGCACAAGGTATACAGACAACTCTTGCAATCACTAATTCAAAGTGAGATTTTAATTCAGTGACAATCCTCAAAGTTTCTGATGGTCCTGAAGATGAAGATTCTTATAGACCATAAAGAGCATCCGAAATAATTATTCAGAATTATGCATGCTCAATTTCATGTCAAAGACCGATTTCCTCATGTTTTTTCTTCATTCAATCAACAGTGCAATGCAACAAATTTCAATTGCTGAAAAATGCTATGCAACAAGGCTAACTAAAACTTGCAAATTTCAACTACACCTTTGCCTTTCCTTGACTCTATAAAGCAAGGAAGTTATCTGCAAGTGAACTACTGATGATGAAGGCAATAAATAAGGACCTGATGCAAATGGGAATCTTTTCTAACCAGCGACATGAATTCTTTATGATTGCAATGTTACTACTTCTCATTGGGATTTTCCTTTTTCTTTTCTTTTTTTTTTTGGCAAAAATTAAGAAATAGTAGTAGTATTTTGCCATCAGCTAGTGAAATGATTTATAGCAAAGAACCCCAGAAATGCACACACATAATTAAAAGAAAATTGAAATAAATACATTTTTAGCTTCAATTTAAATTATCTTGGCAATAAAACTATAAATTAATGTAACACCAACATTCTATCAAAATCAAACAAAACACAAAAATTTACATATGACAAGAAAAAAAGGAAACTTAACCTAGAACCCTTTGGGTCCAGTTTCCTTCAAAACAACAGGCTTCTCAGCCATAGAGATACAGTACTTTGCAATCTCTCTAAACCTAGGCACACTCCGAAGATCAGCCTTTGTTCCATCTTTCAAGGTAATGATAACATCAGCCCACTCACCTATGAAACGTGGCACCACTTGGACGTCCTTAATTACCTTGTAAGAGAAGTCACTCCTATCCTGACCCGTCAGCCCTGAAATAACCGTCACCCGCAGGTTGGTGAACCTGTACCTCAGGAAAAAGGCCCTTGAAACTGCAGCTAGAGTCAAAGGCAGCCACAGAAGAGTGAAACCCAGAAGTACATTAGCTACGAGGTCATCGTAGTGGGCTCCACCATCGAAGAAGATGGTTTCTTCTTTGGGGTTTTTGGAGAAGGGTTTGGAGGGAGTGCTCGTAGTGGTAGGTTGGTTAGTTGGGGAAGAGACGTGGAGTTTGGTGGACTGTCTGTTGTTTCTGGATATGGATTTGAAGTGGAGGTTAGGGAAAGGAAGTTTGGAAGAGATGTGGACGAACTGGTGGGTTTTGGAAGCGGAGGCGGTGTCGGTGGCGGTGGCGGTGGCCGTGGCGGTGGCCGTCGGTGAAAGAAGAGAGGTGGAGGCCATGAAGGTTTATCCATTGGAGAGGGAGACGGAAACGAGAGGTCGTTCAGCTTCAGTTGAGCCGTTGTCGGTCATGTATTTGCCACGTGGATTGTAGGTTTTCATTTTCGTAATTTTATTTATTTTTCCTTAGATTATCACCATTCGCTTTTTTTTTTTCCCCTTTGGCTAATATCTTAAATTTTCATACAATTAATTTTCCTTTCTCTTGAAGATGAAAGGCGAAGTAGAGATGTTCACGTGCCAAGTTGAGCCGGTTCGGTTCAAATTTATTTTTTGTATTAATAATTTATATATTTGGTTAAATTTGATCTAATTTAATATTTTGAATCTTAAATTTTTTTAATTTATTCAAATTAAAAACATAAATTTTAAACTCATTCAGTAAATTTAATTTATATAATAAAAAAATTAAAAATTTATTTTGTAAAATATAAAATATAAAAATAAAAATTTACATATATATTTATATAATTATAATATTTTAATTATATATTGTATTCGAATTTTATTTTATTTTTAAAATCTAACTTAAAATTTAAAAAAGCTTCAAAATTATGTTCAATCCTATTCAATAAAATTTAAAATTTTAATTCAAATTCTCTTAAAATTTAGATGAATCTTTGGACTTAGAATGAATAATTTGATCATTGAACAGCGGATGAAAAAAAAAAAAAGAGAAAAAAAATTGGGAACAAAAGAAAAGATTTTGATATTTATAGAAGATAATGGTTTTGGGCCAAATATTGGGCCGTTAGTAGTGAGAAACAAAGTAAGAAAAAGAAACTGGCCTGAACATTGCCACCACCACCAGCAGGTTGGATTATCCAGGCCTCATTGCAACTATAGGCTCTGGTTTGGGTTGTGGGCAGGCTAGGTCGGCTTTTGCCCGGTGCAAATAAGCAAATGCATTTTGATTCTATGTTCATTTATTGTCCTTGTCCTGCCAATATGATAAATTTATAATTAACATTTTAATGGTGAAGAAATCCCTCATTGCTTCAACGTGAGGTCTCCCAAATACAAAAATGTGAAAAATCATTATCTAAACATGAGATCAAATGCATGAAACAAGAATTAATCGGTATCAACCTCGATTCTTTATTTAAAAAAAAAAAAAAATTTGTTTGTCGTGTATGAATTGAGCAATAGCTAGACAAAACTTTCCAAATCTAGTTGTTTCGATTGATAAACTCAAAAGTTGGTCCTTAAAATATTGTTTTTGGCCGTTGACACAACCTAAATTCATGTTACAAAACATTATAGAAGAAAATAAAATCACTTACAAACATTAAGAAATGCAATAATTAATTAATTCATGATCATTTATGCTATTGCTGCTCACATGTTATCTTCAATCCTCTTCTTCTGTCCTTTCATGTTCTGATAGATCCTTGCTCAAAGGAATTAAACTAGCATGCACGTGGCCACCAAACAAGCTCTATCTCAACTAGCAATTTCTTCATAATTTTGGCACTAAAATTTTTTAAAACCATGAATCCATGTTTCCATTCTAAAACTGTACTCGTCAAATGCCAAAGTTTCCAGCCATGTTGCCAGAATATTATCTTAAATCTCTTGCAGATGATCCCATAAAAACGTATAATTAAATAAATAATTTTTAAAATGCACTAATAAACAAGCATATAGCGGTGCTATTAATTTAATTACGTCTTTAATCTTGCAGTATGGTAACTTAAATATCAAGATTTGCAGATTTTATCTCATATGTTTGTTTGTACCAAATTGGGTGGCTAATTATTTTCATTATTGATTATTTAATTTGTTTTAGTCTTAATCACTGATCTATATAGGAAAGAATCCTATGCAAATTTAGATGAAGCCTACCAAGGTGGTTTAATTCTTTTTTCATGTTTCCAATTCAATTCAAACCCTAGTTTGGTTCATTGTGTCCATTTCTTACACATTTCTTAAACAACTCTCTCTTAGGAACACAATGATATGCCGCTCCTGTGTCAACTATCCACTCAATGCCGGGATCACTAACATGATTACAATCACCATGTGTACAAATCAAAGTAACTGAATCACTATCTGAATTCACTGCTGCAACATTGCCATCATCTGAACTCTTGCCTTTCTCATCTTTTCGCTCTTGCTTTAAGATTCTACAGTTTCGTTTTATATGACCCGCCTTACCACAATGGAAACACTTCACTTTACCTCTAGACTTGGATCTATGTTTAGACTTACCACGGCCTTTTGAGTCCTGACCTCTGTCGATGTTTCTACCCCTGTTCTCTGTGACCAAAGCTTGATTCCCAGGGTCTACATCTTTTCGCCTCGCTTCTTCATTAAGCATACTGTCCTTTACCATCTCCAATGTCACCTTATAATCAGGAGCTGAATTAAGAACAGTCACAACTAGAGTATTCCAGCTGTCTGGCAATGAACCCAAAAGAAATAATGCCTTCATTTCATCATCCATCTTAAGTTCCATAGTAGTCATCCGATTAAATATATCTTGAAAATCACTCAAGTGCTCTGTAACAGATCGTCCATCCCTGTACTGTAAAGTTGCAATCTTTTTAACAAGCATAACTTTATTCATACCTGTTTTTCTCTCATACAATGCTGCCAATTTTTCCCAAACAATGTGAGCATCTGACTCCTGCGCTACATGATGGAACACGCTGATATCAACCCATTTTCTGATTGTAGCCAGCGTCTTTCTACCTAGCTTCTTTCAGCTTTCATCTTTCATATCTGCTGGTTTAGCCGAATCACCCAATACTGGCTCATACAAATCTTTACAGTATAGATGATCCTCCATCATAGGCTTCCAAATTGAATAATTCGATGCTGTCAATTTTATCATGGAACCTGTATCACCCTCCATGATCTCAAACAGAATTTACTTCTATCTTGGGTTGCTTCTGTATCGATGTCTCAAAATAACCCTCGCTCTGATACCACTTGTTGCGCCTGAAGCAATAATCACAACAATACAGAAGCAATAGACAACAATCAATAATCAAATGCGCAGGAAAAATAAAGCACTCCAAGATTTACGTGGAAAACCCTCCAGTGTAGAGGGAAAAAACCACGGGCCACCAGAAAAATCTTCACTATCAAATAATAGTTATACAAAGTTCTTCTCTAGCTAAAACTAGAGCTAATCAACAACTAGAGAAACAATTGGAGAAATCTCACCAAATAAGTGACTCAACAAATACACCCTGGATTTGTTCCTAGAGAGCTTCAAACCCGATCTTCACCGTTCAGAATGTATAACTCTGAATCATAAACCTCCTGACAAGGTTCCAACTCAATCGGACTACGGATCGACTTCCGTTTAATCAACTCTCCCTTCTCCTTTTTCTCTCTCTGCTTTTCCTGGCTTTTCTTCTTTCTCTGCTTGGTTGTCGACACACACACAAAACAACCCCACCTCTTTTTTTATTAAGTAGCTAGGGCTCTGTGTAAAATAAAAGATCAAGGCCCATGGCCTTTACTTGGTCCAAAACCACTTACATGGGACTGGACCCCATTTTCCTAACAATCTCCCCCTCCAGTCCCATTAGAAGGAGATTCATCACCATAGCAATTTCATTTGGAACTTACCTTGGCCAGGGAACTCATTCCGGCCAAGTTACTGCAAAGCTCAAGCTTTTCCCTGGGAAGTATCTTAGTCAACATATCTGTCACATTTTTATCAGTATGGACTTTCTTCAATAGCATCTGCTGTTCTTCAATCACTGAACGTAACCAATGATATCTAACATCAATGTGCTTTGTTCTAGCATGGTACATGGTATTCTTACTCAAATCTAAAGCACTCTGGCTATCACAAAATACCACATACTCTTTCTGATTCAACCCTAATTCAAGAAGAAAACGTTTCATCCAAAGCATTTCTTTACATGCTTCAGTTGCTGCAATATACTCAGCTTCTGTAGTTGACAAAGCAACACACTTCTGCAACTTAGACTGCCAAGATACAGCTCCTCCTGCAAAAGTGAACAAATACCCTGAAGTAGATTTCCTACCATCAAGATCGCCTGCCATGTCAGCATCAGTAAACCCTTCTAGAATTGGTTGTGAAACTCCATAAGTCAAACACATTTTTGAGGTACCCCTCAAATATCTAAAAATCCATTTAAATGCTTCCCAGTGAACCTTCCCTGGATTAGAAAGAAATCTGCTCACTACACCAACTGCATGAGCAATGTCAGGCCTTGTACAAACCATAAGATACATTAAAGAACCGACTGCAGAAGAATAAGGAATACTAGACATAGCTAGTTGCTCTTCCTTAGACACTGGACAAGATTTCTTACTTAGATGAAAATGGTTGGCAAGTGAACTGCTAACTGATTTAGCATGTTGCATGTTGAATCTACCAAGCACTCGTTCAACATACTTTTCCTGTGACAACCACAGCTTTCCAGCTCTCCTATCCCGGATAATGTCCATACCAAGAATCTGCTTTGCTGGACCTAAATCTTTCATATCAAAAGACTTAGACAATTGTTCTTTCAACCTGCAAACCATACTAGCATCTTGTCCTACAATCAACATATCATCAACATATAATAATAGGATAATGAAGTTACCATTAGGGAATTGTTTAACATACACACAAGAATCCGCTGCTGTTCTTTTATAGCTATGACTCACCATAAAAGAATCAAACTTCTTGTACCACTGTCGTGGAGCTTGTTTCAAGCCATACAAGCTTTTCTTCAATTTACAAACTAAGTGCTCTTTCCCTTTCACTTCAAAACCCTCAGGCTGATTCATATAAATGTCCTCCTGCAAATCACCATGCAAAAATGCAGTTTTAACATCAAGTTGCTCAAGTTCAAGATTCAAACTAGCTGTCAATCCCAGTACCACTCGAATAGAACTCATTTTACAACTGGAGCAAAAATCTCATCAAAATCGATGCCTGGTTTTTGAGAAAAACCTTTTACTACCAATCGAGCTTTGTACCTCACTAGTTTGTCACCATCCTTTTTCAACTTGAACACCCATTTATTCTTTAATGGCCTCTTTCCTGTTGGAAGTTTAACAAGATCATAAGTACCATTCTTTCGCAATGACTCCATCTCTTCTTTCATTGCTTTTAACCAGTGCTCTCTATCCGGAGTAGCCTGCACATCTTGAAAGCTTTCTGGCTCCCCTTCACTGGTAACTAAAATAAAATCTGAACTTGAATACCTGGTAGATGGCCTGCGCTCTCTAGTAGATCTCCTGGGCTGAGACTCTACATCACTTGATGCCGAAGGTAGCTCCCCCTGCTCAACACTCTCAGGTAGAGAGGATTGCTCCCCCTGCTCAACACTCTCAGGTAGAGAGGATTGCTCCCCCTGCTCAAAACTAATAGCATCTGGCTCATCACCAACTATGGCTGGCTCATTCATATCCCCAAGTTCTGTTTCTGGCTCATTTTCACCATCTGTGGCTCTTTCCTGTGAAATCCCTGTCGGTGTTGAAACATCACACTCAACAGTAACTCGTGTAGTCTTCTCATTTTTTTCAAGATCTGCTATGGTTTCTTTTTCATGAAAGACCACATCTCTGCTTCTGACTGTCTTTCTCTTTACTGGATCCCATACCCTGTAGCCAAATTCCTCATCACCATATCCTACAAACACACACTGTGTAGCTTTACTATCAAGCTTTGACCTCTGCTCTTTTGGTACATGCATGAATGCTTTACACCCAAAAACTTTTAAGTGAGAGTATGAAGCATCTTTTCCTGTCCACACTCTTTCTGGAATGTCAAAGCCCAAAGGAACTGATGGTGACCTGTTAAGTAAATAACAAGCTGTGTTGACTGCTTCACCCCAGAATGGCTTTGGTAATTTTGCCATCCTCAACATACATCTGACTTTTTCCACAATGGTGCGATTCATTCTTTCAGCTATACCATTATGCTGCGGTGTTCCAGGTTCTGTCCTCTCATGCCTGATCCCATGCTTTGAGCAATACTCTTCAAAGCTTTTAGATGTGTATTCCCCACCATTATCAGTTCGAATACACTTTAAGGGTAACCCTGTCATCCTTTCAACCATGGCATGAAATTTTTGAAAATACTGCAGTACCTGACTTTTATATTTCAACATATACACCCAAGTTTTACGTGAAGCATCATCAATAAAAGTAACAAAATATCTGCTACCACCTAATGACTCAACCTCAATGGGACCACATACATCAGAATAAATTAATTCCAATCTATTTTCTTTTCTCTGAGAACTTTTACGAAAAGAAACTCTATGATGCTTACCAAACAAACAATAATCACATGAATCGAGAGACATACCTTTGGTCAAGGGAATGAGAGAGTGCCTTGCCAAAACCTGTAACCCTTTTTCACTCATGTGTGCCAGCCTCCTGTGCCACAAGTTTGCTGAAGCATCATTTTCAACGGTATTTACCTGGTTACCGTTCAATTGCTTCCATGTCTTATACATTGTGCAGCATAGTTTTCCCTTTGCAACTACCATAGATCCTTTGAGAAGCTTCCACTGTCCATTCTTTTGTCGGCTTTCATATCCCTCCTTATCAAGGACATTAATAGCAAGCAAGTTCATTCTCATATCTGGAATGTGTCTGACATCCCTCAAAGTCAACATGCAGCCTGTACTAGTTTGTACACCAATATCACCAATCCCAACAATCTGCGACACACTCTTGTTTCCCATCTTGGTACAACCAAAGTCTCCTGCTTTGTAAGTTGTAAACAACTCTCTCTTAGGAAACGGATCGACTTCCGTTTAATCAACTCTCCCTTCTCCTTTTTCTCTCTCTTCTTTTCCTGGCTTTTCTTCTTTCTCTGCTTGGTTGTCGACACACACACAAAACAACCCCACCTCTTTTTTTATTAAGTAGCTAGGGCTCTGTGTAAAATAAAAGATCAAGGCCCATGGCCTTTACTTGGTCCAAAACCACTTACATGGGACTGGACCCCATTTTCTTAACAATATGTATATATATATATATATATATATGAATGAACATTATTGCTTTGGATCGACTGAGCAAAAGAACTGATGCAATTGACAATTACTTTGTATCTGTCATTGAAAACATGAAATGGACCAAAAATGAAAGATGGGTTTGACGAAGTGGAAGAGGAGGGAAAGAAAAAGAGATTGAGAAAAGAAGATTCATGAAAGTGGGGTAAAAAGAGTATTGGATGACAGTGGGTCACATGATTTTTTCCTTTTTTTTGCTGCAGTAATGTAGTCAGACTCTGCCTAGTGCGAAAATGTGGGTACATTGGCTTTTGATGCCATTCCTTGTTTGTCAGCACAAGATTGCCAACGTCTCCTTCACGAGAATGACCATTTCCAACTCTCCTTGTTTGCTTCTCCTCGTCATCTGTTTGTCATCTTCTCTCCTTGGAATGTGTGTTGGATTCTCCCTCTCTTTCTCTCTCTTATTTTCTTCAATTTTATAAAAGAAAAAAGGGATGGAATAGTTTATTAACTTCAAGTAGATTTTGTTCACCATTGGCGTTTACCCGTTAGTACTGAATGATGAAATCAGCAACAAATTCATTACCAGGGACTCTCTTCAATGAACTCAGCAAACAATTTTTTTCTTCAACAGTACAAAAGACATGATTCCAAAGCAAGAAAAAAAAAAGAATAATAAAATATGTAGCGAGAGAGAATCCCCTTTTTATGTTTTCATGGCCCATGCTAGCTACAGCTGCTGCAAACCAACTCGTCATCACCAGCAAATTACTTGGAATATAATTTAACTTGGAAATTCTACTCGCATGATCCAACCTAGCAAACATCTCTCTCTAAGCCTAGGAAACCTGATATATAACCCTAAGACACATTTTATTCCTCTATAATCATCTCGTCAGCCCCTCCTGATGAAAAGTTTTTTTCACTTGATATCAAATTCTACTTTGTACACCATCTCTAGGTACCAAAACATTGGATATGATGATTGGTCGCCCTCTTGATTTCTAAAACTTTGTAACCGTGGAAATGGGGGAACTATTTCCAAATTTGGCACCTTGATTGATGAGTTCAAACTTGAAATTATCAATTGAAATGTTGTTGTTCAAGCCATGGCCAAAACCCGGTTTGATCCTCGATGGTGCAGAACATGTTGCTGAGGCTTTCTTCTTTAACCATTTGATCCATCTTTTGGCATTGAAGGTGATCAGGCCTTGACGATGCGTTTTGTAATAGTTGTGCAAGTGCAACACCTCCTCCTGTTGGCGGCCTAATGGATGTTGGAAAGAGGGTTCTGCTTGTTGGATGATGAGTAGATAAGGGGCTGTCAACTGCTGGTGTCCTAGAGATATCCAACTTGACATCTGAGCTGTTTTCACTTCTGTTACTGCAAGAACCTTCTGTTTCTTTATTGAGGTTGATAGATTCAGTTGGTTCTCTGCTTTTCAATGCCATTATCTGCACCCACAAAATTAAGTTATCCAATCAAAGATGAAGCATGTTACACTAAATAACTAAATATTCCCTAGTTACTGTCAATTTTAAGAGGTTGAATTGAGAATTTGATACTACTATAATCTTCCAAACAAAATAATAAGATCATTGTCCACCCAAAAGAAAAAACTATCCCAGAATTTATATTAACTTGTAAGAGAGATCTCTCATTCATTGTCATGATTATCCTGAACTTCAAACTATGATTAATTAACCCATCCGAAAGTAAACATGTGACTTAAAAGAGGTTTGGCATTCAAAACCATTGGCTCTAGAAAGTACCCCGGAGAAATAAAGTTCTGAAAATCATGATTGATGATTCCATAGAAAGTCAATAAAGCATGAATAATAGAGTAGAAGAAGAAGATAACAATATTCAAACTAAATCATTCAAGACATACTCGATTAAGGCAACAGAAACTTTAAAGTTTTTCTTAGCATAAAACAAAGACTTGATACATCAGAAAAATACCGGAAAGGAAAAGCAAAGCTTTTGGTTAAGATTACCTCTGCATGAAGCTTTTGGTTCTGATCTTGAAGTGCATCATTATCTGCTTTGATTGCTTCGTACTGTCTCTTAAGGAGATCATAGTCTTTCTCTAGTTGTTTGGTTTTCCACCTAGCTCTTCTGTTTTGAAACCAAATAGCAATCTGCCTTGGTTGCAAACCAAGAGCTCTAGCCAGCTGCATTTTTCTCTCAGGTTCAAGCTTGTTACCCAGCTCAAAGCTCTTCTCTAGAGTCTTTACCTGTTCCATGTTAAGCCTCCTCTTCTTTTCTCCTGCCTGTGAACCATCATCTGATAAATCATCCTCCCCATTTGCTTCTTCACACACATCTATCCCTGAAAATGACATTGATCTCTTCCCTAGAAATGATGCAACACCTATGGCCCAAAAAAAAAAAAAGAAATCAAACTCTATCATAGATTAGATAAAGTGATAAACCAGTAAGATCAGATGAAAGAATAAAGACATGGAGTACCATGAAAGTTTTGGGGTGTGCATGAAGGAAGCATTTGATTGATGGAATCTGGGGGTTGATGATCTTCCTCATGAGGAGTTTGGAGCATGAAATTTGCTGGGAAAAAAGACATCCCATTGCAAGACATGACCCAGAAGGCAGGTTTTAATAAGCTTCCAATAATAGTATTAAGAAAACTCTATTTTCATAATCTGATGACTGTCATGAATGATTGTTCAAGGAAAGAAGGATATGCAGCAGATCCTCGGAGTAGACACAGATCAGTTTATTGTAAGAAAAGCAAAAGAGAGGTTTGAACATATATCAGACGAAAGGGAAAACTAGAATTTCTTGAATTGGAAGGTGATGCTGAGATTTGTGGAAAATGGATAGCTTATATACCTTATCAACTTCTAGGAAGAAACTATTTTTTCTTTTATACTATTTATATATATCTATCTATTTCTCGGAGAAGGAGAGAGAGATGAAAGATGACTCCATAGTTTCACTTGGTCTCTTTATATGAGGAGGGATTTATTTCATTAAAAAAGGGTTTTTCCTTTTAAATTTGATTAACAATAAATAAAATTTCATGAAATTTTGTTTAAATAATTGTTGATACACCCATTTGCATGTTCAGGACAAAAGTGAGAAAATAAAAAGAAGGGCACAGCTAGAAAATAAAGTTGGGAAAAAAAATGGAAAAGGCTTACTAACTAAACCTGGTAATGTAGTAAATATGAAAACATTTCCATGGAGTGAGTCGAATCCAAGTTCAATAATTTGAGGGTCATTTTCATTGTATTAGTCTTTTTCCACACTTGAGAGACAAATGGTGGTGTTTTCTCAATAAAGACAGTTGTCTTTAGACATAAATAAAATTTTCAGGATGGGAAGCAAGCCACTTTTCGAGAAGCTTGATTCCATAGCTGGAAGGATATATAGACAATGGTGTGTATTTCATATTTTAATATTCCCCTATAGTGTGAAGTGGGTGACTTTGATAGGGAAAAAACAATACTACTACTATTTCCTAAAGAAAATCTGATTTTTTTTGTTTAAACAAATACAAAAACCAGAGTGTTCAGATGGGTGAAAGGGAGTTTAGGGTTTCTTAGAAAAATAAACTTTGTGATGTATGTGATATTTTATGTTTACTTAAGAGAAAAGAGAAATGAGTTGGATTTGGATGTATCTTTTGTTTAGGGTCTAAAGGGTTATACATTTGAGGCCTGAAGCTGAGAGAGAGAGAAGGGGCAGGAATCTAGGGATGGGTCCAACGAGGGGGACAGGGGCTGCTACCTAACCCACCAACATGTATCGTGCATTAGGAGAACCAAGCCTCTTTCCCATCCATTATCCTTTAATCAGTTACAGTCCTCTGTGCCTGTGCAATTGGCTCTGAATTGGAGTGTATGTATTTGAAATTGAAAGAAAAAAGGAGAGAGGAGAGGGGTTTGAAAAGCCCAAGCAAAACTCTTGTTGTTTGCAACCCTACAAGAGCTGGTCTTTTTTGTCTTTGAGCCCCGTCTGTCCATCTCTATCCCACTGCTCCTCTCTCTTCTGCCACACCCCCCAATATCCCATGCACTCACCCATTTCATGTCCTATCCTCGTCTTCTCAGTTCGGCGCATGATTCTTCTATTTCAAAAAATAGAGTTTGAATCCGCTTTCCCAAATTAAACAAAAAAAAAATCCCATAAATCCATGCTAAAGCAAGATTCTGCAATGATCAGTACCAAATCTGAACTTCCAAACTTAACCAACTTACACAGGTTATCTGATTAGACATAGATGCTTCCATGATCATTTTTTGTTTCATGAGGGGGTTGGATTTGGATTAGAAGGCAGGTTCTTCCCTTTCAGAAACCAACTTTTGCATCCATATCTGCTGGCCTATTTCTTTTTACCCTCATCAACTTTCATATAGACTAATAATCGAGAGTAGTGTGTGTGTGTGTGTGTGTGTGTGTGTGTATATATATATATTTATATATTCGTAAGCTACCAAAAAAAGCCAATTATATATGTTTTTTTTCATACCATCACAAGATTGTCCCGCCTTCTTCAAAAATTATATGACTATAGCTGCTTGAATGTTCTCTTTGATCCTTTTTTTTTAACCTTATTGCACTGTGGACATACATTTGAAGAAACTGTTTAGTGTTAATAGTTTTGCTTTCTTTGGCTTGCTTTAGCTTTTATTTATGGCTCCTATCACGATCATGAACTATTCACCTCATCTCTCTCTTGAACCAAAAAAATATATGAATGTTCATGTTGTTAGCATAAGAAAACATGTGTAATTCTCTTAAGAGCTTAAATTGAATTTGTTTAGAATTAAGATGTTTGCATTAGATGATGAAATTACATATGATCTTGACTAATGCTTTATAAGAAAAGAGAGAAACCTTTATACCATAAGTTACTCAAAACAAGGATTAAAGTGTTGAACTTGAGACATGACTTAAATATTTGAAGAATCTAACATGTTTATACAAGAAACACAAGTGCTTAAACATATGAATAAGGAAGTAGAAAAAAAATTTGTTTCTGTAACTGTTTATTTACCAAAGTTTGTAAAAAGGTCAATGAAAGGGGTGACAAAAGTAGATATTAAAAGTTAGGAAACACCCTTACAGTGAATCCCTCCTTTGACCACAGTACCACACCAATAATGAGTTATGAACAGAAAAGTAAAAAAAAAAAAAAAATTGTGCTTCTGCAAGGTCCAACAGCCCACAATTTTTTACCTCTTCTAACACAAACCAGAATCTATCAGTGCTACAGATAAATACTACGGCAAATCTTTACTAGCTGAGGACCTAAAAAAATCTGGCCCTGAATGTAGCATTGTAATTTTCTGACTTGTTAATTGCAGAAAGATGTAAAGATCTCAAGTAATAACCTGTAAGCGGACTTGCACAAAATTACCTCCTGGATGGAGAATAATATTGAAGCATTGGCATTCTATTCAGAGGGTGACCCGTGAATCTACTCAAGTTTTCATTGTTTTTTATTTCTGTTTAAATTGTTCAATCCCTTTCTTCCTTTGATTGTTTGTCACAGAAAGGAAAGAAAAATGGACAGATATATAGAAACCATTAAGGGAATTAAGTACCCAACATATGGCCCCAAAAGAGTTAAAAATCATCACAAACGTACAACTCCCACAAAATTCATAGATGAGGCAACTGGCTGGCAATTTTCTGTTTAGTCTTTCAAGTGATTTTGAAATTTGAAGGTTCGAATTGAGGGTTTGATCTTGACGTTGAGTAAAAAAAGCTAATGTCATCACTGATCACACCAGGATCCACTTCCTTCTTTTTCTGTAAACATTGCTCCCACACTATAGTACGCATGTAAAAAACATCCCTTGATCCCTAGTAATATCATATTCAATAGTAATTACAATTGCCAAATTAAGTGCCAACTATATATATTAATATATATGCACCTTGATTAAATCTAAATGATAAATGGTTATTAAGGTGAAGATATTAAAACCTCAAGCATGTAAGCTGATTTATTCACTTTATTATATCCCTAACATTAATTACTTTCATAGATATAAGGGTTTGAAAATACAAAAGCAAAAGAGGTTAGGCCATGGATTTGGTGATGCAAATAGAAATAGATTGCATGCATGGGAGGAGAAGATCAGAAACAAGTAATGGGTTTTTGTTATGGTTTTTGTACCCTAGACAGTGTTTTGATTGGAAAAATGATTAGCTGCTTTATTCTAGAGCTAGGGATGTATCTAAAGGAAGGGAATGGGGAATGGCAAAGGACCCACCAATCTGCATATCGGTGATGGTGGAAGCCATTGGGGGTCCTTCTAAAATACTAGTGCTTTAAAAAATTTTTGGGCAAAGACAAAGCTACTCCCACTGCCTTCACATGACTTTATTAGTTGGAAGCTGGGGTGGATCCATGTTCTCAAACCTGTTATCCCCCATTTCTTTTCTTTTTTTTCCTATAACTTGCTACAACTATTAATAATTAATAAAATTTAAAAATTATATATAGTTAGGGGAAAAAATTCTGTAAAGTTTAGAAAAATAAATAAAACAGAAGAGCTGAACCTACAACTCCACATGCCATCTTTCTTGCTTCTGTTATGGGGGAGTTGGTTCAGCTTGCAATCTCATCCCATGTGCTAGTCTTTGCTTGACGTCACCTGCCCTCTCTGCTTTTGCTTTTTTTGGGTGATTTTATTTCATAATATTTTTTCCTCAAAACTTTTGGACCAAAGGGGAATATATATATATATATATATATATATATATGCGATTTGATTGTGATTTGTGAACCACTGGTCCGTTTATTATTATTATTATTATTATTATTATTATTATTCGTCTTTGGCCATGCTTAACTTTTTGTCATGAGAGATGGCCCATCGTAGCAACCGTTCATTCAAATGCATTCTTCTCGGATTCGCCTCAAATCAGAACATTATGTTATATCAGGAAAGAATCAAACACTAGCACAAATTTAAGGAAACGAGAAAATATATTTCAAAAACCAGAAATAAAATTGTTGTAATAGCTATAATAGCTCGAAGAATCAGGATAATTAGGTCAACCCTTTTATCTTTTTAATATAATATATATATATATATTTGGTTTTTCCATTATATTTTCAAAATTTAGTGCATTGACATTATTACATTTTCTTATTTTTATAATACAATCAATGTTATTATTATTATTTTTTATAATGCAATCTATATGGTTTTTTCATAGTTTGACCCAATTTCTCTTTAATTTAAACGATTTTAAAGACTTAATTGAATATAAAATTTTATTTTTGAAATATTTCTTATCGAATTTTGGTTGAGAAGAAAAAAAAAAAAGCACACTATCCCTTATTTTCATGGTTTATTTTAGTGCTTATTGTATAATGAAATTGCATAGTGAGGATTGAAGGAGCAGGATCTTTTAAAACAAAAGACAAGAATTGGAAATTAAGAATTGACCCACCAACTATTCTAATGTCATCACCGGCTGCTTCTTTAATTTTGACAAGAAAAGCATATATTTATATATGACTTCTAACATCCCATTATAATAATTTCATGTTATTTTAGCTTGGAAAGAAGCATATGCATTCGATTCTTAATCGATAATTGAATTTTTTTTGTTTAATATCTCAGGCAAAGAATACTTCCCTTGATATGAAATCTAGTATTCACCGAAGTTAATTCTAAGCTAAAATCAATCAATATCGTTGAAACGTAGTATTCACAGGCTGAAATGATACGTATCTGCTAGACATAATATGAAAATTCGATACTCTAAAATAAATCAAAAAACTTGAATGTATCATGTCTGATACATACCATATTCAATATTCAACCCGAATCTAAGTAACATGGGTAATCGCTAATAAACATGCACAACCCCAAATCTGTTTGGGAATGATGCATAAAAAGAGCATATACACACAATGTCAAGGCACAATCATCCTATATCAAGCTCTAATAAGTAATTCAGACTGAAAAATAGTTCAACCATTTAAAAGAAGATAGTACAAGAGTAGTATGGTTGATCATATATTCTTTCTTACAATTACAAGGAAATTTTATGTATGTGTATCCTCAGAACCGAAGGTGTTAACTGTTAAGGCCAGTGAGATATCTAAAGACAATAAAGAAAAGTAATTACAAGGAATCAGTTGAGAAGTGCACCAAACATTGTCTAAGGACGTGTCTAGAAACCGTGTCAGACTTAACTGGCAGTCAGGAAGAAGACATTCCACCTTCACAGAATCAAGCGAAAGCCTCA